AATAACATATCCCAAAGTGTGGCAATTGTACCTAAGTAAACTGACCAATTATAAGTGGAATTGATATGGCAATAATACAAGTTCCTTTTCGCTGTATTCTGCATGTACACAAACACAAAAGGTCCCTTTTGACTTTCTTAGTGCAGGGTACATAAGAGGCCTCCGCACATACCAAATGCCGACTGTTGATTCTAAGCTGCCGCTAATCATACATTTGCACATACTTACATGTGACCGGCAATCCCCCACCTTTAGCCTTGACACAACTTTGATTGGAGGGGCACTGAAGAAAAACGGAGGTAGCATAAACACCGGTAATAGTCACTACTTGTTGCCAGAAGGCAGGATTCAGTAAACCACGGGGTTTTCGCTTTCATCATAGAATGTCTCCCTGATTCGACTTTATACTTTGCAGTATTTTAGTCATTTTATAAAGTTTAACATGTGAAAGCTAACGTCAAAATGCTAAATAATGGGATCTCATTTCCCCAAGCCGATAACAAGTAGGCTTTTTTCCCCCTCTTTTTGTCAATTCTCTACGCGCTGTCTTGCGGCGGAAGAACAGCTGTGAACCGAGCGTGTTTGTGTATCAAACTCCGGTGTCATACAAGACTCCGCATCTTGCTCAGAGATTAACTCCAGGTAATTAATCTGAGCTCGTTAGCCATATGGCAAGCACGTTCAGGCCAGAGCGCAGCCGAGGTGATCCAACTCCCGTGTACTCGCTAATATGCGTGGCATGGCCAAATGTATTTCTTAATGAACTTCACAATACGTTTATGCCTCGTGCTGTTGTCTGCACGGCTGCTAGTGTCGCCATAGTGCCGGCACACGTGACGTGACAATGTCTGAAAGGAAGCTTGCTGGGAGGGTGAGGTTTAAACTGATGTACCTCTCCCTTGCTGTTTCTGGAAGTAAAGGACGGCATTCAGGAGGAGGGGAAAAGGCAGTGCGGATTCTTTCCTTCCTGAGAGCGAGGGATGATACGAGGGCCAGGGGAGGAGAAAGACAGGTGTGGGGAGGAAGATAAGTTCTTTTCCCTTAGCCACACAGGAGATTGGGTGAACCAAAAAGGGAAAAGAAAGAAAAAGGACAGGTGAAATATTTTCCCCTGAGGCAGAGGAAATGAGGAAAAGTCAGAACTACCAGCCAGCTCTGTATGTGAGGAAAGGCCTAAACCATTCCCAGAGGGGAGGCTGGAACACCCTCCCTTTCTCTGAATGTGCCCACCAGTGATGGATAATATTAATGTTTACCTCCTTTGCTATTTTCTCGCTCCTCTGTGTTGTTTGTGTGAACACTGGAAAGGATGCCAGGCAGTTCTTAGTTGGCCTTCCAATACGTTCACCAAGTTAAAAAAAAACAAAAAAAACATTTCCTGGAGCAATCTATCCTTGCCCGACGCCCACAGCCCCATCACCAGTCCAACTAGTAATTCTTTGCCCCACAGTTTCCGATTTACAGCACGAGATTAAAAAGCAATGTTGCCAACAAAGTCCTGAAGAGGAACGTGAGGAGGAAGGGTAGACAGAACATCGTGTGGAGTTTCGTTCATCCAGAGAAATTTCCCTTTTGTTCCATTACCAACATACTTGAGGCTGGTTTCATCTGATCCATGTCAATTCATTTGCAACAAGAGACGATCCCATGATGAAAAAAAAAAACCTCAAAACAGTTCATCACATTTTTCCACTACTTATCATGTTCCGTGTCACGGGTGAGCTGAATCCTATCCCAGCTAACTTTGGCGCAGAGTTCAGTTGCATTGGGCACACTGCAGTCAATCACATGGCACGCAGACAACCACGCAATCCCATTCACGTTCACACCTTGTTTCACAATTTCAAGTAGCACAGAAGCCAAAACATGCAGAAATTGACAGAGCTAAGAGCTGCTTTGTAAGGGCAGAGGTACTAACCACATGCTCCACACTGGCAGATCACATCAGTGAATATATATATTTATATATATATATATATATATATAGGTTGATTTATTGTGCCAAATTACCAAACCTATTTCTTCTAGGGAAGGAACTGTCTCTCACATCTCCTTTGTACTAAGGTATTTAAAAGTGACACGAGATAGCTAAAGGGCTACATTTATAAGGTGTAAGCAGCTGTTCCATGAGGGATTACCAGCATCTGTCACACAACATGATCGTTTGAACTGGAATAGTGAAAGAAAGTAAAGGCCCGCATTGGTTATGGGGGCAACTGGGGAGGCGAAAATAATGGTTGTGACAGGAAGACGAGAGACAGAGCTGAAATAATACTGGATAGAGAAAAAAAAAAGGTGTGACATGAAAAAAGGCACGCCGAGCAGAGGGGAAGAGAGGTAAAGGAGGGGAGCGGAGGGGATGGATTGTGATTGGTGTGGAAGGAGTGGGGCCATGATTTCTTTCTTTCTTTCTTTCTTTGTCTTTCTCCCTCCCCCCCCCTCCCAAAAATGAACAAAATGTCACATTTATTTATATGTACAATTCTGTGCTGTTCCGCTTTAGGATTCTTTGCCCTTTTGTGTGTACTGTTCTCATTGTTTCACTATGTGAGTGAGAAAGTGTGTCAGCTGCTTGCATAGATGAAAGGTTGATGACAAAGAGTCTGGTTGCAGGGCAGACACCAGAGAAAGACAGCGTTCATAGGAGAAAGATACACTCTTTCCAAACGGAGCTGCTAGCTCAAAAAGCAGCTAATTCCCTTCCTTTGTGTTTCACCTCCCCTGGTTCCCTTCTGTCGTACATAACTGCGTTCTCCCCCACCTCTTTTGGCGCCTCTTTTCCATGTCTTGTAAATGCTGAAGCACATCAGGGAGCCTTGTTGTTGTGAGGTCTATCTTCCCCCAGCTGCTGTTTGCTGTTCCACCTCCTATACTTCCCTATTTTCTCCCCCCGCCTTTTCCCCATGTGTCTAGCAAGGTGTGCAACATTGACGTGGCAGTAAGGCAGCTTCCTTTATGTGCCGTCCGATGCGTGGCAACACATTTTGCTGCAACAGGCCAGCGCTTCCTGGGAGAGCAACTCAACCCTTGTGTCAGCGCTCTTTCGCCTCGTGATCCCCACTTTTGCTCATTACACTTATTTGCTCTTTGTGCACTCTCCACTGCCGCCCCCCCCTCCATCCCTCCTCTTTCGACTTGTTCTGCTTCAAAGATAAATTGTTGGTTCAGTCACACACGCGCACACAATCTCATATGACACAGGCTTCCCTGTCACATGCCACACTACAGTTTCTTCTTATTCGGTGGCTCCAAGTGAAAAGAATTGTACATATATATATATATATATATATAGGTTGATTTATTGTGCCAAATTACCAAACCTATTTCTTCTAGGGAAGGAACTGTCTCTCACATCTCCTTTGTACTAAGGTATTTAAAAGTGACACGAGATAGCTAAAGGGCTACATTTATAAGGTGTAAGCAGCTGTTCCATGAGGGATTACCAGCATCTGTCACACAACATGATCGTTTGAACTGGAATAGTGAAAGAAAGTAAAGGCCCGCATTGGTTATGGGGGCAACTGGGGAGGCGAAAATAATGGTTGTGACAGGAAGACGAGAGACAGAGCTGAAATAATACTGGATAGAGAAAAAAAAAAGGTGTGACATGAAAAAAGGCACGCCGAGCAGAGGGGAAGAGAGGTAAAGGAGGGGAGCGGAGGGGATGGATTGTGATTGGTGTGGAAGGAGTGGGGCCATGATTTCTTTCTTTCTTTCTTTCTTTGTCTTTCTCCCTCCCCCCCCTCCCAAAAATGAACAAAATGTCACATTTATTTATATGTACAATTCTGTGCTGTTCCGCTTTAGGATTCTTTGCCCTTTTGTGTGTACTGTTCTCATTGTTTCACTATGTGAGTGAGAAAGTGTGTCAGCTGCTTGCATAGATGAAAGGTTGATGACAAAGAGTCTGGTTGCAGGGCAGACACCAGAGAAAGACAGCGTTCATAGGAGAAAGATACACTCTTTCCAAACGGAGCTGCTAGCTCAAAAAGCAGCTAATTCCCTTCCTTTGTGTTTCACCTCCCCTGGTTCCCTTCTGTCGTACATAACTGCGTTCTCCCCCACCTCTTTTGGCGCCTCTTTTCCATGTCTTGTAAATGCTGAAGCACATCAGGGAGCCTTGTTGTTGTGAGGTCTATCTTCCCCCAGCTGCTGTTTGCTGTTCCACCTCCTATACTTCCCTATTTTCTCCCCCCGCCTTTTCCCCATGTGTCTAGCAAGGTGTGCAACATTGACGTGGCAGTAAGGCAGCTTCCTTTATGTGCCGTCCGATGCGTGGCAACACATTTTGCTGCAACAGGCCAGCGCTTCCTGGGAGAGCAACTCAACCCTTGTGTCAGCGCTCTTTCGCCTCGTGATCCCCACTTTTGCTCATTACACTTATTTGCTCTTTGTGCACTCTCCACTGCCGCCCCCCCCTCCATCCCTCCTCTTTCGACTTGTTCTGCTTCAAAGATAAATTGTTGGTTCAGTCACACACGCGCACACAATCTCATATGACACAGGCTTCCCTGTCACATGCCACACTACAGTTTCTTCTTATTCGGTGGCTCCAAGTGAAAAGAATTGTACACATGCACGCACATGCACGCTCAAGCATTAACACCCACACAAACTCACAGTCATACTCTGGCCCTTTATCCCCTTTGGGTAATCTGTTTACGGTGAGCTGGGGCCGTTTGCGGGAGAATTTAATTGAAACCGGGCTAATCTGATGATGGCACGGGGCAACAGAGCCCTCATAGCCCTGCGTCACCTCCAGTCAAGTTGCACCTTGTTGTCCGCCCACTCAATACCTCAATACTTAATTTCATGCCACACAGTTCGGTGCATTTTTGCCCACTCAAATCATGCCACGTGGATTGTTAAAGCACAATATGATATGCACCGTGTTCACTCGCTTCTGATCTTGTGTCTTTCTTATTAATGTGGCTCCCCTTTTAGCATCCCTCACCACTGAACAAGCATTTGTTTCTTTCTCGCCTCTCCATTCTTTCCAGGACGGCTACTACTCCCATCGACCGAAGGAGAAAAGCAGAGTGGACAGCAACAATGAGAACTCTGTACCAAAAGACTTTGATAACATAGACAACAGTAACTTTGGTGCACGCTCGCAGCCGCATCGGCAAACCGTCGGGGCCACCGGCAGGAGGCAGCAGCGAGAGCATCTGCAGGAGAAAGGTCACGGCCAGCAGCACGTCTGGCGTGACAACTCCCCCGGCCTGGTTCGCAGCTCCAATGAAGTGCTGCCTTTAAGCCACCAGCCGCTGGCGGTCGCCAACAACTCGCGCCCCGGTGGTCAAGGTGTGGCTGCAGGAGGGCCGCGGCATCGTGCCTCACACCAGGCCCAGCACCGGCATCAGCACCCTCACAAAAGGCAGGCGACTGCAGCGACCCTGGAGGTGACCTACGACCAACCACCCAAGTGTGAAATCAGTGGGAAGGAAGCCATCTCAGCTCTGTCCAGGGCCAAAAGCAAAGACTGCCGGCAGCAGATTGCTGAAGTCTACTGTAGACACAAGGAGGGCCAGTTAATGCCAGAGAAGGTCACACGCTACTGCCCCTTAGAAGGTGACTTCAGGAAAAATATTAATATTTTGTGGTCGTCATTTTTTTGTGTGAATATATGCAGTACACACCCACACTGAGACACACATACAGACTGTATTCTCACCAGGGTTATAATACTCTTGGATTTTTCGTGATAGTTATTTTGATTTTGTTTTGAATTGGGTTTTTTTAATTCACTTAGCTTTAATTTGTTTTTAAATGCAAGTTTATTCATTTAAATTGGCAGCGGGGGTGGGGGAGATGCTTCATTTTCGTTTAGTTTTTATTGATTTTATTTTATTTTATTTTTTAATATATGGAATATTTGGCGAGGGCAATATTTACCACAAAGGTTCACCACATACTGTGTTAAGTATAGTAAACTACAATACTCAAACAACAGTTTTGACCTTCCTTCTTAGGTGGCTACGGATATACAGCAATACCTTTTAACAGCAATACTTTTCATAAACTATAACAACCTTTATGTATGTTTCAGATTAATTGAAAAAAATCCTGGACTATTGCGAAATAATTGATGCCCCCATGAAAGCCAACAATATTTGTGTGTGTGTGTGTGTGTGTGTTTGTGTGTGTGTGTGTGTGTGTGTGTGTGTGTGTGTGTGTGTGTGTGTGTGTGTGTGTGTGCGTGCACGTGCGTTTGTGTGTGTGTGTCTAATTGGATTTGCAGAAAAATGGGGACGTTGTTTGTCTTCTCTCCAAATTGTTTCCAATTGTCATGTATTTGTTTTTTCAAACTGGCCATGAATCAAAGTTGTTCCTTTCTTTTTTCAAACCAGAAAACAGCCAAACATTCACACTTGTTTTTTTTTTTTTTCACCTTCTCTCCGGAGGTGGAGCCTGGCAACAATATCAGAGGACCACAACAAACCGGTGACAAACAGAGAACAGCATAGGTAGCATTTTGTAATGTTTTCCACCAGTAGCAGCTGTCAGAACAGCTTCACTGGACCTTGGCATATATTCTGTTAGTCTCTGTAAGACTGCTGGAGGCATGAACACCATTCGCTCACAAAAATTTATTATCTGCTGTTTTGATGATGGTGGGCAATGCTGTCTTCAATCCAAAATCACTCCAACATGCTCCCTCTGGGCCGGACCTGGGCAAAGTACAGCCCGTGGGCCACATCGCATTCTTTATCAAGCCAAAATAAATCGTAAAATATGTGGTGCTTGGATTTTTAAAGTGCTACTTTTATTTTGCTGTGTATGTCTGTGGGCGGTACCACTGAGCAAGAGCAACGACCGGAGTCATCAGAGTTGCCGAATTTACAACAATGTCGCAATATCTACCGACGGTAGACTTTTTCCACTCTTCCTGCATGTATTTTTCAAACAAACGATGGGTGACAATGCCACGTGTGTTCCTCATGTTGGCAACATTCCTGCACGGTGCAGGGAAGAGGGCCAGGGGGATTAACCTGTGATAATCATTTGGGAGTCTTGACTAGGAATGGTTAATAGGATTTAGCACACATCAGATTGTAGGAAAACTGATTTACATTTTTTTGTGAATGTTGCTTGAATCGTGATCCAAGATAATGTTCATTGAATTTTAATGATTGCTTACAATTTGATCATTTTTATTTCCTAATTGTAATGACTTACACCATATTCACACAACTAGCAGGTTATTTAAACTTAAATGCAATTTAACTTAATTTGGGGAAATTTTCATATGAAAGAAGAGCCTTGACCATAATCGCACAAAACTTGATTTGGGATGAAAAACATTTCATTTATAAATCTCATCGCACTTGAATTGTGACTTTGTACCCTTGAAACATAAAGAAATATTAGCTTCCTTAGTCTGCAACAACCTACCTGAATAATACTGCCAAACATCCAGGCTTCGATATGGCTGACAGCTCAGTCGACTGTACACACGAGCTGCATCTATATTCTCTCGTCCTTTTGCATCTCGCTCTGTCTCTTGCCATTCGTCGGGGACAGGTACAGGATTTTTTTTTTTCTCTCCCGGAGCTAAAGGGGATGGGGGTTGAACGATACATAGGGGAGGTGAGAAACAAATTAATCAATCTATTTTAGACCATCCTGAGGATAAGCGGTTTGTATAATGGATGGATGGATGACTATCACCGCTTCGCCCCGCTGTAGCGCCACCCCTGTCATTCGTGCTGTCTCTCCACCTAAACATTCCTCCACTGGATGCATGGAGCGGAAGTGTACTGATGCTCGTCGCTCTCAATCGCCACAACTTTCTTGTATGAGTGGCCATTCTCAAGTGGGGAGGAAACACGAGCCGTTGTATTTACACAGATGGTGTAATAATACTGCCAAACATCCAGGCTTCGATATGGCTGACAGCTCAGTCGACTGTACACACGAGCTGCATCTATATTCTCTCGTCCTTTTGCATCTCGCTCTGTCTCTTGCCATTCGTCGGGGACAGGTACAGGATTTTTTTTTTTCTCTCCCGGAGCTAAAGGGGATGGGGGTTGAACGATACATAGGGGAGGTGAGAAACAAATTAATCAATCTATTTTAGACCATCCTGAGGATAAGCGGTTTGTATAATGGATGGATGGATGACTATCACCGCTTCGCCCCGCTGTAGCGCCACCCCTGTCATTCGTGCTGTCTCTCCACCTAAACATTCCTCCACTGGATGCATGGAGCGGAAGTGTACTGATGCTCGTCGCTCTCAATCGCCACAACTTTCTTGTATGAGTGGCCATTCTCAAGTGGGGAGGAAACACGAGCCGTTGTATTTACACAGATGGTGTTGGAATGAACACAACATGTCAGCAGGCACTTGCTGTCCTTCGAGAACAAAAGAAGGCACAGGGACATTGCAACTTTTGTCCACTCTCCTTCCAAATAGCAATGGTGTCATGTCTCCATCTCACAGCAACTCACCACCCCATTCAAATGGCCGGTTGATCAAAGACACCAAGAAATGGAAACGGCCTTTCCCCTGGTTGCTGGCCTGATAACAACGCCGCAGCTAAATTAAACCATTTGTCTGTCTTACTGTCCTTCTGCCTGCCTGCTCACCGCCAATTTGTTCTCGCTTGCTCTTCCCTCCTGTATTCCCATCCCAATTCAAGTCCTAACCTTGTTAGCACAAAATTGTCCAATTTGATTTGATCAGTGTAGCGTCCTTGAGGCATTGACTGGATTAGCAATTGTGTTAGAACTGATATTTGCATCATTGAATGCTGGAGGAACATGGTCAATCTCTTTGTCTACCATATGCTAACTTGGCTGGTGATGATAAGTTTGGCTTGTGATACTCCAGGGCTTGGCAGGGCATTTGTACAGTAGCAATAGTGGGAACTTTTGGTGAGCTGATCTTTTGAATCAGCTGTGTTAGAACAGGCTAACATATAAAACAGGGTGGATCGGGGCTCACGAGGATCGGACCTGGAGACCCCTAGTGCGGGCATTTCTTGGCAATAAACTGCTACAGGCAGGTCCATGGGACATCGACACGATTCTCCTCTTTTTGGCTCAAGGCACCACCACAGTGGATTTGAAATGAAACAGACAAGTTCTGCGTCAACGCATTTTGGCAACCATGAAATATTAAATGAATGAAACGTGTGCATCTGCGGTCCACGTGCAAGTCCACGTGTTGTACGCATGATGCGAAAAGACTCAATAGACGGTGACTTATATCCACAATGTCTAATACAGTGCCTGTGTTGGTGGGAGCAATAAAACTTTAGCACTTTCACTAATGCGACCAAATTCAATTGTTACTCATACACGCTGAAAAACACATCTGCGACCATTCTGGTATCTTGAGCCCTGCCGAAACAGTTCAGAATTCATCTTGCTGCTTTTGTCATTAGTCACATCATCAATAAATACAAGGCAATCAGTTCCAATTGGCTGTCACTCTTGCCCATGCCATGAGATGACCACAACCATGTTTCATTGTTTCAGTAGTGTAGTATAAAGACAAAATTTGTACTGCAAACTCCAGCTCGAGTTAGTATGTAACTACTTTTACCTGAATGCGCAATGTTGCTTGCGTAGCAAGCATGCAGCGTGGATGTGATTCTGCAAGCCCTGAGCTTTAAGCTGTTTAATGACACCCCAGTTGGTGTTAACTGTAAAACAGATCACAAAACAATTTCACACATTGTGTATTTAAATAGATAACATTCTTCGTTTTTATAACATTGCTAATGCTAAATTCAATGGAGGATCCCATTGAAATACCAATGGGAAATTACATTGACTTTGGGAGTGATCTCAATCAAAATAATCATGATTATTATGTTTCCATAATTGTCCATCCCTAGTACAACACAATGCAAAAATCTTGGACCATAACAAACTACTTTTATGACTTTTTCTCACAGCAGTCATTTTGACAAAAACAAAACAAAAAAATCAGTGCATTACGCCAAACATTACCATGACCAAGAAAGGACTAAGAATCCATTACATTTTGATGAAAGTGTGAATAAAAGTGTGGATATAAAAATATATGTTCATTATTTGACTAACTGGCATCAATGGAACCATCCAACCCCCAGACTCATAATGGCAACCCCATCTGTATGTCATCCTCCAGCGACCAGGAAGTACCGGTAATATGCATACTAATAAAAATTTAAAAAATGGACAAACAAATGCTAAAAGAGGATTTTTATTCTTTAATTCAGCAGGTCGGCCTCGATGGCAGTCTCTATTCTATTAAGTGACAACAACAAAAAATAATGAGAAGAAGAAGAATTTCATTGGTGCTCGAATTTTGCGGAGCGCTGTATTTGTACACCACCCGTGTGTTAAAGTACAGATTCCACTAAAGTAATACATACCATTTTCACAGCATGGACAAACAAATTCCAAGCTCCTGTCTTTTCACTTTTATCCAGATCAGTTGCATTTTGGTAACGTTATGCACTCTACTTCATTTGTAATTATAAATTACCATTACAACATACTTTTGCACTGTAAATAGTGTTCTTATTTTTTTAGTGTCCAAATACAACAAAGAGTGGTAGCGTAAGCCCTGTGCATGGAAATGCATTTCTCAATAAGTAGGTATTTTAGTTATTTATTTATTCAAAAGACACCGATGTCTGATCTCGTAAATTGATGAATTGACATAGATTGGGGATATTTACTCTTATTTTATGTCTACCTCAAATGAGTATTTAAAACTGATGTTATGCAAGATAAGACAAGAGAAGGGTGAAAACAGATAAGGGAGCTGTACTTAAAGGGATTTATGCAGACAGGAAGAATGATGAAGACTCTCCAGCTCAAGAGGAGAGATTTTTTTTCCCTTGCTGTCCTGTCAATTTTGTTGTGGGTCAAAATGAGTCAACGGTGAAATCATAAATGCTTCACAAAAGTGATAGCTCAAATGAAGTTCACACACTGACTGTAGCAGTGCTCATTAGTTCAGCTATCTCATATGGCACACATTCAGTATCCTTTGTGAAACAACTGGCCCAATTATCCATGTGTAAAACAAACCAGTGAACCTTCTTAGCCGGCCAGTAATTAGCATTCAGTCTAAGACAAAGTACAAATATTTCCCCTTTGGGATCTCTGAAGTAGAGTGAAGTGCAACAAACAAGTAACAGGGAGTGTCAGGACGTAATGATAGTTGTAATCAGGTTGTTAACCCAAATTGTCTTTGGACAATGCCCTGCCGGACCTTAAATTTAGATCGCGTCTGTTAAATAGTGGGGGTGAAGGCTTCTTATACCAGTCTGATACTTGGCTGTTAAATCACAGTAATTACAGGGCCCCGAGGGGCCAGACACTGTGTTGAGTCAGGATGGACATTTTGGGAAATATGACCTCTAGGGAATACACAGCTTCTCTAGTCCTTCTTCGTCTTGACTATAGACAGGCTGGAGGGAACCAAAGCCCTGAATTACAGCCATTAATCTTCTTAAGACATGACATTGTAAACAAACATGTCATAACAGCCTGTTGTGTGCATTTGTTTTAATGACAAACAAGTCAATCATTGTCCATCATACACTTTCGAGATTGTCAGCTCACAACCTCAACAAGTTTGCAAGGGAAGGTTTAAAGGCGCAACGGGAAGTAATGTGAGGCTGCCAATAACACTACAGATGTGTTTGATAGTGAGTTGACAGGCCGTGGCATTTGCTTTCATTATTTTGTTGTTTCTGTAAAATACAAGTTGACTTCCAAGGCTTGTGTTTTTAATGCATTAATTGTCCCTGTATTTGGCCCCCGAAATAGTTGTTATTTTGTCTGATAAGCTGATTAGCCTGACTCTTCATGTTGACATTTTTAACGGAACCTCTGGAAAGAAAAAAAAAAAGTACTGTGTACATTCTCATTTTAAACTCAGTTGATGTCTAACACCAAGTGACCGTCACCGGGAACAAGGACGTGAATTAAGAGTTATAATACGGTTCACACTTACACCACCACTTAAAGTGTTCCTCAGCACCCTTGTTGGATAGTATTTCTATTAATTTCACAGAGCTACCAAATGTTAGGGATTGTCAGTTATGAAATCATTGAACGCCAACTCTTTACAGCTGGGACGCTGATTGTTCCAGATAGTTTAAAAAAAAATCCAGGATCCAACAGTAGCGGGCCAGCAAGACGCTGACTTGTAGTGCGATGAAATTAACACTACATTGTAAAAAAGAAAGAAAAAATAACTTCTTTTCATATTGAAGAATGCTTGGTGCACCCTCTTTTGCGCTGCGCCAGGTCCCTGCGAGCTATGGCTGGCTAGCTGGCGAAACAATCCAGCGCAGCAAATTCACATTGCCTCTGGTGTCAACACAGCACAAGTCACGAATCATTGCATCCGCGGCAATGAATCAGCAAAATGTTTCAAGAAAACATAGAAAAATCGACATGATATGTATTTTTACATACAGTATTTTTTTTGGTCTCTTCTGTATTGTGGCTGGTTTAGTTCATTTTTATACCATTCACTGCATCACCAAAAATGAATTGAAATGGGGAGCGGCGTGATTTCCCTTATTCGCCACTCGAGCAAAGGGCCTATCTGTCCTTCAAAATTGCCCTGGCAAACTCCACGGCAAAATTCACGGGTACAAAGTACAAATGCCAAATGCTCCAATCCCACTATTTTCTTTGCGACCAGTTATGCATATGATAGTTTACAGTATTATCACAACATTGCTTGCCAGATAAATGCAAGGGAACCCCCCCACCCCCAAAAAAACAAACAAGTGGCAGCGTAGCAAAGGTTAGCAGGCTTGCCCCTTTTGCTTGACCCTGAGTAGAAGAAACAAAGTATTTTGTTGGTTTCTGTACTAAATACCAATGTCAACAACGTCACGCAAAACAACTATGAACCCCCAGCCCATGTCAAGAAAACAGCTGGATCAGTGACTGTGACACAACAAAACGGAAGATCAGTCATCATATCAAGTCCCACTGATTGTGTAAATCCCCCTGGCATCGGCACTTTGATTTGTAGTGTGTGAAGAAGGATAATCAAACTCTTTCATGAGAGGCAAGTCGGCCACGGTCGCTGAGGGACAATTTTCCAAAACACAAAAAAAGTGTGACTGTGAGTGTGAATGCTCGTTTGTCAATGTGTGCCCTGCGATTGGCTTGCTACCAGTTCAGGGTGTACCTCGTCTGCTGCCCGAAAACAACTGGGATGGGCTCCAGTGTGCCCACCACCCTGGTGAGGATAAAGCGGTTTAGTTCAACAAGTTTCCAATCTACATCGTTTCACCAGCAATTGTGGATAATGCCGACAAGAGGAGACAGTTGTACACACATTAGATTGCACTGAATAGAAACCACAATTTTGTCCACACTTCAAATTTCTATTCCAATCTATTAACAATGCTACTTGTTTCTTGGGAAAATAGAGTTTTAATGTTGACTTTTGAGATCTGGTGACACGTGCTTTGTTTAATACAGTTGAAAACAGAATTGGTAGAGGCTAATTCAATGCAATGATTCAGATATATTTGATGATGGCACCCTTCAATCTCATTTCCTTTGATTCAGCCTGCAACCGTGTGCACCATTCCAAGGTTGATGCAATAAAGACGTTACAATTACAAATACTGAAGCCATCTTTAACGATTATGGTGATGGAGTAATGATTATGTTGTGCAGTAGGCTATGCATAATTCCTTTTTATCTGATCACATATACAGGGTACACTGCAATAACTGTCCTGCGCTAATGTGCTTGAGAAAATGTGAAAAATATGGACATTTGGACAAATTGTTCTTGGAACTGAATTTCTATAGGTTGCCAGCTCTGCTTTGGACAAGAAATTCCATCCATCCACAATAACGAAGCTTATAGCTGAACACCTTTATTTCTGTACAAGCCATCTGTTACATTTTGCCATCATTAAAATAAATACATAAATAAAAGGTCTGTGATGATAATTGTATGTATTTTTTGTTTTTTGTTGTTGTTGGTACAGGGAAAGCCAATGCAAATGTCCAGTGGGATGAAGACTCTGCGGAGAGCTTCCCATCAAATCCAGTGCGAATAGCATTTGTCTTGGTGGTGCATGGTCGCGCTTCTCGTCAGTTTCAGCGTCTCCTCAAAACCATCTACCACACGTCCCACTACTACTACATACACGTGGATCAGGTGAGCTCTGGTTAACGTGAAAGCAATCAAAGGAAAGGTTTCACAGCAGACCTCCACTGAATTATTCCATTAAAAAAAAAATAATAATAATTCTCTTTAACTGTGGATTTTACAAAGGGCAGGGACTTTACCAAATACGTTCACATGACATTACCAATATGTCTGAACAACGATATCAATGATTTCACATGACTTTGCAGTTATGTTTCCTCCACGTTCGCCGTTATCTTGTTCGAGTAGACAATTCCTGTACCGTACGCATGTTTGAAGACATTTGCTAAAAACGTGCAGAGATGGAGAACTGTGGTGTGCACATTTGTGGAGATTGTTATTGAACCACCGGTAATTGTCTCACGTGTATGCACAACATGTTCACAATCCATCAACTTTTTTGTAAATTGCTGCTCTGAATGGTTGTTGTTGTTTGTTGCAGCGCTCCAACTACCTCCATCGGCAGGTAAAGGCCTTAGCGGCTCAATACCCCAACGTGAGGGTGACACCATGGCGCATGGCCACCATCTGGGGGGGTGCCAGTCTCCTGACCATGTATCTTCGAAGTATGGCTGACCTGTTGTCCATGAGGGACTGGAGCTGGGATTTCTTCATCAACCTCAGTGCTGCCGACTACCCCATCAGGTAAAGGAGGGGCCCTCACGAGATCATCCATAAACTTGAGGGTGGGAGCCATTGGGTCTGGGCTCCAGTGGTTCGTTCACTGTGAGCTTTGAATAAAGAGTCACTCCAAACCAAACAGATCAATGAAGTCAAACGTCTGCTTCTCCACCGCTTGCCTCCTCACACCTTCTTTTCCAAGTCTTTGTTTCCTTGCTTGTTCTCCATTCGAGGGGCTACATGTTGACCTGATTACAATTTAATTGCCCAGGCTCAATACATATTGACTTTCTCCGCCTGCAGTGTACTTGATGGTCCAAAAACCCGATCTCAATTGTTGAACATGTTTCTTTGAAGAGGCTGTAGAAGGTAATTAAAGGCCACAAAGCTCAAGTGAACTGGGCTTCATGTCATCCAAGGCAACTTGGGGAGAAATTTGGGGGTAGGGGGGAGACGTCCTTTATGTGAGTTTATTGTTCTTCTGGGATTTCAGGCTCTGCTGCATTTTTGAAGAAGCCATGCAGTAACTAATTAAAATGCTTCTAAAAGTGGTGGGAGGGAGTTATCTCTCCTGCGCAGCCAGATGTCCACCAGTTGGATTTAGACGAGTTGTTATAATGGACAGAGCCAAGTAGGATCTGATGTTTTCCAAAACAGCAGCCAAGAAATTGAATTTTCTCAGTTTAATCACGTCCCTGCCATCGTATTGATGCATGCTGTCAATACTGTATGTTTCTGCGCCATGTCTGAGTTCATGTCTTGCATCACGCTACATGCTCACATATTTATCCTGTCACTGCATGATTAAATGCATTTGTGATTGTGCCAAGGCACTATTTTGCTCTTATTTTGCATCCTCATTTGCATGAGGTTGATGGAAGTGGAAAATAGCTGACGATGGAGATTTTAAGACCCATCTGTTTGGAAATGAAACGATTGATGGCGCAAAAGAGGGAATTGAGATACACAAAATGACAGGGAAGAGGGAGGGGGACAGATCAATTGTGGTGGTGGTGGTGGGGGGAGGGGGGTGGATGTTTTGGATTTGTGTGATTCGGAAATATGTAAATTTTAGTCTGGTATCATTGCAGAGGAAGTGTATTTGTAACAGCTTGGATTTGACAATGCCAACTGGGAAATGTGGTCTATTATTTTTGTCTTATTAATATGTGATCAAGTGTCTGGGGAGTGTTTTTAAGGTGTTTAGTGTGTGTGTGTGTGTGTGTGTGTGTGTGTGTGTGTGTGTGTATGTGTGTGTGCGTGTGCGTGTGCGTGTGCGTGTGTGTGTGTGCATGTTGAGATGCTCTCATCTCTTCACCTGAAATTGATAAACGCTACGAAATAAATGCAATTTTCGTTCATTTTCCTAAATAGTCAATGTCCATCCATCCATCCATCCATCCATTTTCCGATCCGCTTTATCCTCACAAGAGTCGCGGGGCGTGCTGGAGCCTATCCCAGCTGTCTTTGGGCAGTATAGGCTGGGCACACCCTGAACTGGTTGCCAGCCAATCGCAGGGCAGACATAGATGAACAACCATCCACGCTCACACTCACACCTAGGGACAATTTAGACCAGTGGTTCCGAACCTGGGTTTGATGGAACCCCAGGGGGTTACTCGGTCTCAGTGGTTCGACGGAGCCTCCACCATGGAGGTTAAAACACACCCGACTCAACATGTCAATTAGTTATGACACGCCCGCTTGGCCATCACTGGCTGCAGATGATCACATTACATTGCTTCTCCAATCAGTGTTGCAGAAAATTTAGTTCGCTCAGTAGTCACTGGGTGACTGTCGTGATAGTACGTCGTGTGATTTTTTTTTTTGAATGTTTTAATACATGCTAACTATGTCGAGTAAAAAAAAAACAAAGTGGTCGGTCGAATATGTGGCACATGGATTCACATGCATCACAGAACATGATGGGACTCAGCATCCTATCTGCATGATTTGTCATGCCAGGTTGAGCAACTCTAGTCTCGCTCCGGCAAAACGGAAGTAACACTTCTTGAATCAGATTTTTATTTTTCAGTAATGAAGGGTTCAACGAATGTGCATATGAACTGGTTGGGTTCGGTACCTCTAATAAGGTTGAGAACCACTCATTTAGGTTGTTCAATCATCCTGCCATGCATGTTTTTGGAACGTGTGAAGAAACCGGAGTACCCGGAGAAAATCCACACAGGCACGGGGAGAACATGCAAACTCTATACAGGAAGGCCCGAGCTGGAATCGAACCCGGTACCCCTACACACTGCAAGGTTGACGCGCTAACCACTGGCCCACCCGGCCGCTGTCATCTTCTATGATATTGTATTTTGGGAGCAAAACCACCACAATGAAAATTACTGAAATTTGTTTTAACAACTGTTGAAAAAAATGAAACTTATAGGTTATAAAGAAAAAAAAACTGTCCTATATCTGTTATAGCACACTGATTTTTGATTGACTGATTGATTGATTTTTAAGGAACGGTTATTTCCTGCGATTGGCTGTCAACCGGTTCAAGGTGGACCCCGCCTACTGCCCAAAGACGGCTGGGATAGGCTCAGGCCCGCGCTCGACCCTCGTGAGGATAAAGCGGTTCATAAAATGGACGAGTGGAAATGTGATTTAATTATCTTTATCCATTGAGTTACATGGGAGCCCCTCTTCAATATCACCTGAACAATGCTGTCATTCACTGAATTTGTCAATCCATAAAAATAGTCTTTGTGTAATTATGAGTTGAGTCCAGTGCAACTTTTTCTCCTTCTAAACATTGGTTCGATCTGTCCAAAGTACAGCTTAATACATTAATCTTTGGAGGATCTTGGATCAATAAGCTCTTGGGACTCCAGAGACACCAGCACCTTCAAATACCAACTTGGTGCCCAATCAGTGGCTTCTTAAAGCATCTGTAGCACAAAGTAAAATTAGAATTATCACATCTAATTAAGTTATGGGGCGGCCCGGTAGTCAAGCGGTTGCACGTCGACTTCACAGTGCAGAGGTACCGGGTTCGATTCCAGCTCCGGCCTTCCAGTGTGGAGTTTGCATGTTCTCCCCGTGCTTGCATGGGTTTTCTCCGGGTCCTCCAGTTTCCTCCGACATTCCCAAAACATGCATGGCAGGCTGATTGAACAGTCTAAATTGTCCCTAGGTGTGAGTGTGAGTGCGGATGGTTGTTCGTTTCTGTGTGCCCTGCGATTGACTGGCAACTGGTTCAGGGTGTCCCCTGCCTACTGCCCGAAGACGGCTGGGATAGACTCCAGCACCCACCGCGACCCTAGTGAGGATAAAGCGGTTCGGAAAATGAATGAATAAATGAAGTTATGCACATCCAGGGTTCCTTGGCACACTACTGTCCAATTTGACTTCATTTATCAGAAAATTACTTGAATACAGTTCCATCTTTGTACGTTCTTATTCACATGTTCCATTAAACAGGCCCAGATTTCACACAGAGTGAGTACATGCATGAGTAAATTGATATTGTGCTTTTTGCGACATGTTTGGTGCTATGCCATGAGATATTTCAAATGTAAAATGGGTGCCTTGGCTTAATAAAGGATGACAAACACTCATCTAAATTGATAGGAGAAAAAAATACAATGGTGCCTTGAAATGCCTTGAGAAAAACTCCACATTAAACGTTTATTCAACTTAATCCTACCTGCCAAATAACCTATAATTCAATGTTGGGCTCAATCATCTGCTCTATTCATCCAACATGTTGAAATCCTGAGTCTGTCTTCGTTTCAATCCAGGTTGGAGAACACTGGTTGCCAGTCTTTCCATTGTGACCATAGAGTATTGGCAAGAATCCAAACGGGTGAAGGAGTTGAGGGTGGTCTCTCCTGCACGGCCCCGTCCTGACTACTGCTGTTGTTATCAGTGGGACGGGAGACAAGCATTATTTCCCCTCTAATTCCCTGATAATGTCTGTCCTGCCGCATGGCTGCCTCTCAAAGGCAAACGCAGAGCCACTCACACCAATGGGGCGTTGTGTGTGTGTGTGTGTGTGTGTGTGTGTGTGTGTGTGTGTGTGTGTGTGTGTGTGTGTGTGTGTGTCCAGAGAGGCCAAAAGATGAGTTACACGCATGCGTTGCCAAAGAGTGTGACCCTCTTTCCCAGCCTTTTATCTACACAGTCTCCCTGCGCTTACCTTTTTCCCTTTTAAGCCCCTTTCATTGACTTTCCAGCAGTGCTGAAAACGATTGAGCTTTGTGAGCAGGATGCTTGTCTTTAATTTTGTGACTGATGTGCTAATATTATTGCAAGTCGTTTGTTGTGATATGAAGTTGTCATCCTTGAAATCATTGACTCCTTTTATAAGTATGAAACAAAATGTAAGAACACCTTGCAAGTTAAAATGTTTTTTTTTTTTTTTAATCAATTTCTTCTGACAGAGATGATACTGTAAAAGTGATCTTTGTCAAATGCGCTTGAGTGTCTAGCAATAATCCGTCAACTGTAACATTGCACCATTCCACCCCGGGATCATCTAACAAAAGTTCTACGTATAAAAAGTGCACATTATGAATTTAACAGGGCCATCGAAGTGAATCAGTACCATCGTGATGACGTTTAATTGACCGTGATATTGGGGAAAGTGCACCATTTTGGTGTGCCCGGCGGGCTTTGAAAGCAAAGTATTGTGTGTGGGTGCCTGTGTGTTATCGTGCGGTTGTGTGTGAATACCGCTGAGAAACAGAGCAAGCACAAGCCTGACAGTAAGCAAACTTGACCCAATGGACTTGGGGTGACCGCTCAGGTGGCAAAGTTGGAGTATGACATTTGCCGTGTGTGTGTGTGTGTGTGTGTGTGTGTGTGTGTGTGTGTGTGTGTGTGTGTGTGTGTGTGTGTGTGTGTGTGTGTGTGTGTGTGTGTACGCGCATGCACGTGCGTGAGCGTGCCTTCAAGCATTTTTGCGCTCGTGTGCATATATATTGTATTGGCAATGTGCAAACTGGCCGTCACCCAGCATGCGTGTGTGGGTGGGAGTACAGTATGGAGACGGAAGACTGCGTGTGTCTGCACAGCATATCATCAGTTCAACTTTATGGCTCAGGACCTCCTAAGATAAGCCCCCCAGGCTGTGAAATTGCTCCTTCAAGGGAAAATGACATTAATATGCGCTTGTCCCTCCCCCCGCTGATCCTTGTGCTCTTTCCAAAAGGCAAAGCAAAGCATCATGAAAGGCTCCGAACCAGATGAAATGACTGGGGCATATAGCCTGCAGAGCAAAGCTTTTAGCCTGTCTGGCCTGCGTATGAGAGAACACTGGCCTACAATGTAAAACCAGCATGTGGTCTTTTCTCAAAATAATGGCGACACAATCTTTCCTATGATGCCAAGTAGTCCGCCGGGGGGAACAACCCCAGAGCTGCTCAGGTCATTAAGTCATCTGTCTTCATTTTGTCTTTTTCTTCAGAAAACAATTATGTTGAATGTGCCAAACTATGTCTGTCCTTTTTACTCAGATTATGATTCCCGCTTACTTTTTGACCTGTTGCGTGCATCACACAAATTTGAAAAGAAAATTATCGTGAAATTTTCAGGAAAAAAAAAGTAACATGGCGTTTATTTGAAAATGGGACACAGTAACAATCCGCTAAAAAGTTTAAAAGCAGCCTTGAGTATTTATTTCAGTGTCGCACGTATTTTGATTCACGGGGCCATTTAAGAAGACCTTCACATTCTGATTACTGTATTGCATGTTTTCAATTGAACGTCATTCAAAATGGAACATGCTCACAGTGAAGGACACGTTCATTTTAGAGCAGTGGTTCTTAACCTTATTAGAGGTACCGAACCCAACCAGTTCATATGCACATTCACCGAGCCCTTCTTTTGTGAAAAATAAAAATATTTTTTTACAAATTCAAGACATTAAAAAAATAAAATTACATGGCATAAGTAAAGTTTTTTTTGAAATCGTATGACTTCCTATCACGACAGTCATAACTAATTGACATGTTGAGTCAGGTGTGTCTTAACCTCCATGGCAGAGGCTCCGTCGAACCCCTGAGACGATTCACCGAACGCCCGGGGTTCGATCGAACTCAGGTTGAGAACCACTGGTTTGTGTAGCCAATGTAAAGCTTTGCTTCTTCATGGCATACGGGTGTTCTTCAATTAACTCAAAGCCGCCACCTTCTGTTTTTAGGACAAACAACCAGCTGGTGGCCTTCTTGTCCAAATACAGAGACATGAACTTCATCAAGTCACATGGCAGGGACAACGCCAGGTGAGTCCGACTCTGCGCCCCCCACCCCCAAGTCACATTTCTGAACAATCCTACTTCGATTCTGAACACGTCTCCTAATGATCACTGGTTCCCACTTCCATTCTTCTTTCACTGCCCCATTTTGAATTCTGGATTAGCGTTGTTATTGTGCTAAACCGGTGAGGTCGCCATCTTTGCTGCTGCCACCCGCTGCTCTCTGCACATGTGCCGCCCCGATGGCCAAGCAGGCGTCATGCTGCACTCCCAGCTACCCTCAAACACATGCGTGCATGACTCAGCTTGACTCAACAATACATCTGTGCATTTACAGCCACATTGCATCGCTTCTCTCAGCGTTGCTGTGTTCGGAAAAGCAAGGCAATTTTTGATCAAAAAACATTAACCTGGCTGCTGAATTGAAGTGTGTACGTATTAGCTTTTCACAGATCTGATTGGCTAAATCCAGTCGGTTGATATGTTGCATTTTATGCATCTTTTGTGATTAGATGTAATGTCTTCATTTGCCAGTCTGATCAATGGCGTCATTGATCAGCTCCACGGAAGAAGAAAGCCGCTGCGTCTCCAAAGTATACTGTGTATAGTTTATCTGTGGTGGACCACCACGAATGAAATTTGGCTGCCAGTTATTGATTTTGATGCCTGTCAATATGTAACCGGTGTACGAACTTTTGTTTCGCTTCATGGAGATGGCGCTGTGCTCCTCTGCCAATCGATACCATCACTTTCCTTTCTGGTATGACACTGTAAATACAGTACCTAAAATGAGTCAACTGTCAGAAGTCTCATCATATAAGTTTGAGAATCAATCTAGTTAGTGCTATCATTGCCAGCTCGACCAGTATTGATCCACACAGCACTCCAGCAGGCTTAATGGCCTTTTCATGTATTCGGTGCTGTTTTTGTTGTATATGTTCATATTTTTGCTCAAGCCTAGTATATTTGGCGTACATTTGGATAGCTGAAACACTTCACTTCCACTCCCCATGAAACCAACTAGTTCCAAAGAGGCCCATTTGGGTGACATGAACCCGACTCCCCGCTGTTAACACTTTAGTTGGAAAAGCATCCATTGTGTATGTGTAATTTGTAGCCGGTGATGAAAGTGTATTGTGACAAATCAACAACACTTTGAGACTCGTCCCTTATGGCAACAATAAGGATCTTTTTTTTTTTTTTTTTTTTTTTTTTTTTTTAACTGCAAGGCTTCCCCTAGAGCACAGGTGGCAAAGTCAAGGCCCGGGGGCCAGATCTGGCCCGTCAAATCATTTTATGTGGCCCGCGAAAGCAAATCAAGCATGTCAAATTCCATGAGGCTTGCTAAAGTCCGAACCAAAATGTTCATATGTAATCCACAATAACAGTCATTATTCTTGACTTTGGATTTTAAAACTAGTTATTCATCAATTTGTTGTGCGCTCTGTATGTAATATGTGGAGGGAATTAAACATTTATATGGTTTCCCAAAATTCATAACGGCCATCCAAGGGAAACCCTAACTACAACGTGGCCCGCGACAAAAATGAGTTTGACACCCCTGCGCCTAGAGTTTTCTGGTGAAATGTACTGTTCATTAAAAAAATGTGCAGATTGGCAAGAGTAAACATGCTTTGATTGACAAGCTGAGAGCGAGGAAGTTACTTATGGGCTATTGAACGGATTTTGGGCCAAATTTTGGATGTGTAAAGATTCCCTCATGTGCCATTTGAATGATATCCTACAAGTCTCGACAGCATAATTAATATGGTTGAAACGTCTGGATATTGTAGCAGTGCCTAAAAAGATGTGTAAAATATAACTATGTTAACTTACATAACCTAAAACACAAAACTCATCTCTGCTATCAAAAATATTGAATGTGAAAAGTTTGAAGGTGAAATATTGTGATCATTCCTAAAAATCGACTAAATTCACAGATGTTAAGATTAGAGTGGCTTTTGAATATTGAAGTGATTTTAAAAAATCGTGTCGTTCATATTTTTTACTGTAATTGTGAGCGTTTCTTTTTTTTTTTTTAGCATTTTTTTATTACGGTATTCTTTATCAGCATTTTTCCTTTTACTTGTTACCGGTATCTGTTACTCAAATATCAATCGGGAAATACAGTAGGAATCACCGTCATTAAGCATAATTTTACCAAAACATGACCGATTTGAATGTTTGATCGATTTGCATTTGTCTTGTTTTACTCATCGAAACAGTAATGGTCAGTACGATAACACATGCTAGCTTCGCACTACATGGAGTCATCTTTTATTTTCACCAGATTTATCCGTAAACAAGGCCTGGATCGTCTCTTCTATGAATGCGACACCCACATGTGGAGGCTGGGTGACCGTAAAATCCCAGAGGGCATCTCTGTGGATGGAGGATCCGACTGGTTCCTTCTGAACCGAATGTTTGTGGAATATGTCATCAACTCCAAGGACGATCTGGTCACCAACATGAAGCGCTTCTACGCCTACACTCTGCTGCCCGCCGAGGTAACACTCAGAAAACACATTTTCATTTTTCCGAACGCTGAGTGACAGGTAAGCGAAACTTTATACTCGGGAGTGCTTTGCTCTTAGACACAGAAAGCGTGGATTTCTTGCCGTTGCTTTTGGCAGGCAAAAATAACCTGAAATCATAAAGTCGAAGCAAAATGTGAAGCTGGGCTTTGTGACTGTATTCAACAGAAATTGCATTTTAATCATTACCTTATGTGATTGTACATTTTCTACTGCTACTCTTTCGCCATTGAGAATTGAAAGGGATAAAAAAAAAATACAAGTTTTTTTTTTCTTCTCACTTTCTGCTATAGCCTCTTCACCTTCCGCCACATGTCCGTTGTTTGTTTTCCAGTCATTCTTCCACACTGTGCTGGAGAACAGTGCCTACTGTGAGAGCATGGTGGATAACAACCTGCGCATCACCAACTGGAATCGTAAATTGGGCTGTAAATGCCAGTACAAGCACATCGTTGACTGGTGCGGATGTTCCCCCAATGACTTCAAGCCTGTAGACTTTCACCGCTTCCAGGTAATAATACCACCCTCCATTAATTTCTCTTTTTGCTTTGCAATGATTGATGAACTGGCCTGAGACACAGCCAGTCACATTGGACACATTCAACCAATTCATTTAATGACATTTGAACAGGACACTTTGAAGTAATTACATAAATTCTTGCATGTGCAATCACCAAAGACCACGTAGTGGAGGTGCATCCGTACAATGTAATGTACACGTTCAGCAAAGTACGGCGCACAGGTCACATCTGGCACAACCAGAGTCTCGGACCGGTCCTCGTAGTGTTTATGAAGTCAAAATTAAATGTAAAATATGATATTGATTATCATGCATTGTACATGTATTTAATGTATAATATTATTTTTTGATCCATTTTCTCTTAAACCGTCTATTTTTCACCATGGCTGTTTTATCACAATTGCTGGATGTCATTTAATGGCACCTAGTGTATGTAATGACTGTAAATGATGCACTTTAAGATAATATGCATATGTAAATTTAATGACATATATAATACATGAAAATTCATATGGAACACGGTAAACGTTGGCCCGTTGGCATGACCGTCGCCAACCGTTCCATTTTCTTGTGTGGCCTCTTTTGAAAATGTCACCTCCCATCCATGATCTAGTGAGATTGAAATTTTTTGAACCAAAGGTTTTGTATGTTTTGAACTTTTTGGACCGAAATCTGTCATGCAGAAGGCTATTAGCTCATTCAGCTGTGTTATTAGCGTTGCTCTAGTACTGCTGCAAACGACAGTGACAATGGTAAATGTATTTCATTTATTATTCAAGTAATAGCTCTTGGACTGAGAAAATCAAAAGCAATCGCTTTTGGGTTTTGTTTTGCTGTTTCAGCGCTTGCATTAGGTCTCATTAGATTTTTTGCAGGTCTACCCAATTAAGTGATCAGTGAACGGTCAACAGAGATAAAAAGCATTTTGAGAGCTTGACAGAAAAAATGCACAATGCTTTTCCCTTCTCTGTAATATAAAAAAAAAGGTTTGGTTTGAATGAAGTTTTAATTACATATTGACAAAATCATTTTCAATAGAAAAGGGTCAGCAGTAGCTCATCCGTGAGGACTCGGGCGACGCAAACAGAGGGTCACGCTTTAAGTGGACAAAGAAATTGCAAGTCGTTCAGGACGTGCTAGTGTGCATTGTGACTACTGTTGACGTGCCCTTGAGCAAGTCACAGAGCCCTTGGAAAATCACCTGAGGGCCGCTGACACAAATTGGTGACAAAATAGCAAAGTGGAAATTGAATTTCCCTTTGAGATACAGTATCATATTCATCATGTGTATTTATGTTTTTTAATTTAGGTTTTATCCCAGTTAGCTACTAATTCTCAAGCGTGACAGCTCATTGATTTCCCTTCTAGCAGTTTGATGAAAAGATGAACATCTCACCAATGAAATTACTCATAAGTGACAAGCACACACATTATTAGTTGATTTTCTTCATTGAAGCTTTGTCCTCTACATCAGCGTGTTCCCGTTGACCTCACAATCAATAAAGGAGAAAATGATATCTTTCGGTGGCCCAGAAAGTGAACATTTGAAAAGTAATTGGACCCTCCTTGCCTTTGGGTATTAAGAGAAGGAATAGGATAGTTAGCTTTTTAAAATGGAAGCAAGTGAGTGGCAGTCACCCCAAGAGCCTGTCAAAGAATCTGAATCCCAGTAGGACTTTGATCTTAAAAAGTAACATCTGTGGCACAAAATGAAAATGTTCGGACGCAGTTAAATACCTCTTGAAGTCATCTACTTTTTCGACCGTGACTCCTGTCCCGCACATAGCTGTCAAAGCTGCAGCACTTGACTTCTTTGCCAGATCGGTCTGCCGCCTGTCTCGCCTCATTCACTGGCGCTCTCGTGCCAGCACATTACCACAGCTCCCTGCCGGCTTTGGTTGGCACCATGGTATATCAGTGAAGGCCATCCCTGGGCATAAAGTAGGGAACAAAAGCAGGCTTTGCAGGAGCGTGCCAGGCTCCACTATAAATAGGACTTGAGATCCCACTGAGCACAAAATCTGAATTTCCCTCTGAATCTTAAAATTACAGAAGATCGAGACTAGAACATTACTCTATAAAAGATGGGCCTTTCTCATTAACAAGTCATGCAAAGACAGCATTGCCCTTAACTGGCATAGGGCGGAAGTAGGAGAAGAAGAAGAAGTATTGCGTGGAATTTACCATGTATATTTTTTTAATAGTGATTCTCACATAGTTGGCAACTAATATTGTAGGGGGTGGCTGTTTTGCAGTTAGCAAATTGCTGTGACAACCTGGCAATAGTCTAAATTCATTTTTCTTACATCCATGTGGTTGTCTTGCGAATTTTAAATATATTAATTCATTCATTTTCCAAACCGCTTGATCCTCACTAGGGTCGCGGTGGGTACTGGAGCCTATCCCAGCCATCTTAGGGCAGTAGGCGGGGGAGACCCATAGCCGGTTGCCAACCAATCGCAGGGCACACGATCAACCATCCCTGCTCACACTCACACCTAGGGACAATTTTGAGTGCTCAATCAGCCTGCCATACACGTTTTTGGAATGTGGGAGGAAACCGGAGGACCCGGAGTAAACTAACGCAGGCCCGGGGCTAACATGCAAACCGGAGGCCGGAGCTGGAATTGAACCTGGTCCCTCTGCACTGAGAGGTCAACGCGCTAACCACGGGACCTCCGGGCCGCCACAAAAATCACCAGGTTAATTCAAAATAAACATGCAGTGTTGAGAATGGTCTCCATTATTATCGCCAGCAAATGAAGGTGCCACTCACTACAAGCACTTTAAAGGAGCACATTGATGTCACATCCAGTTATTTTGTAACGACTCTGGAAATCGTCTCACATTATGATGGTAGATCATGTTACAGCTGTCCACTTTGCGGCATAATTATTGTGAATTGCCATCACTCCAAGTGAACTTAATCTTGAGAAAGAAAGTGCTGGTGTGCCTTTTAAATGGGTCATCTTCGTGTAGTAATGCATTTCACATTGCATTTGGGAAGCATGTGGGAAAGACTGGCTATGACAGCACCGAAGGGCATGTCAAAACCCACTAGTTCTGGGAACATTCAAGCACCCAAATTTCCCACCTACGCGTTCCGTTTAATTGCTGGAACCACGCACAATCATCTGGTGCCATGTAACATCAAGCTGGCAGCCTGGAATGACAGTTGCAACATGAGAAAGAGCTGAGATCCCCAAAATGTGCCAAAAGTTCATTTGATCTGCTTTTTTAGTAGGTTGCACCAAGGTGCTTGGTGCGAGCAAACTATTGGTTAATAGTTTTGTGTCTGTGGCTGACAAGAATCGCCTTTGTGTGAACGCCAAGCTGTGGAGGCGGCAGATTTCATAATGCGCCTCCAGCCAAAGAAGCAAAAGTAGCAAGGCCAGAGAGGGTGAGATTGGCATGGACAAAGCAAAAAAAAAAAAAAATCTGAATGTTACACTACTGACTACTAATAATAACTAACAGAATTATGTGCGAACGTGAATGTAATCTGTCTGAATCTTTCTAAAGTCCCTGAGCAAACCCCCATGAAAGTTTCTGGAACTTTTGGGGCAATTTATCAGAAAATCAACCCAAACTACTTTTGAGGCCTAGAAATATGCCATAGTTGCTGCTTGACATTTTCCCCCATTAAAGCAAAAAGTCAACGTCAAAAGTTGCATATGAGCGTTCACATTCTGTTTTCTTTTCCCCCCCTTGTCAAATTCTCGATACAGTATTAACCACTTGGCACTACATCTGCGATTAGAATCTCTAAATCTGACTAAGCTCCCTGTATGCACAAAGGCGTAAGACAAGATACAGTTTGGCTCAAGTTAATCATGAAATTGGAATGGGATCCCCTCAATATATTTGGCTTGAATACTTGTCTCATGTTCCAGAAATACTTTATTCCAAGTCCTTCTTTTAGATACAAATGGGGGGAAAAAAGCAACATTTGTGGATTGAGATTGTCTGTTGCATTAATTATAGACCAATAAAATCAACTACATAAATAAAGATGAATTGGATTGGATTGTAACTGATCGGCCCGTCTCAATACAGGATATGAAATTTTAGTAATGTATTTCATTCTTCAAATAAAAGCTTTCAAATCCATCCATGCATCGAAAACTCTAATTTGCTCATTCTCACGAGGGTCTCGGGGCATGCTGGAGCCTGTCCCAGCTGTCTTTGGCCAGTAGGCGGGGGGCAACCTGAACTGGTTGCCAGCCCTGTACCTTCTGCTAATTAATGGAAGAGTGTTTAATTGTTCTGTCTCTCGCTATATACTGCTTTGCTGGCATAAATGGATGAACAAAGACACGGAGTTAATTCAAAATTAATTTTCGGACAAAGAATGTGAATTTGGATCATTTCCTGTCATGACACACCACTTTTCCACCGTACCGTGCTTGGGAAGTGCAGGTCTAATAAATGCGTGAAGCGCTGTACACATTGTAAATATTTAGCTAAACTTTAAAACACTGTACCTTGCGCATGTGCTCAATCATCACTATTGAATGAAAAGAACAGATGAGGCATTGTATAGAATAAAGTGATACTGTAAGATAAGGGGAAGGTTTGCCATTCTTGTGTGTTTAAGAAACTTTTTTTCCTCTCTCTTTGTTTTGCCTGTACATTACCTCTATACATATGGTGTCTGTTCCATTGTCATCCTGGCACAAAACCGTTTCTTAATCCCTTTCTTTTTTTTTTTTTTTTGGTCTCTTTATCTCATCTGCCGCACGCTCTCTCTGCAGCAAACGGTGCGTCCCACCTTCTTTGCCAGGAAGTTTGAAGCCAGTGTGAACCAGGAGATAGTGAACCATCTGGACGCCTACCTGTTTGGACCGTTTCCACCGGGGACGCCAGGCCTAAACTCATACTGGGAAAATGTGTACGACGAGCCAGATGGTGTGGCCAGCCTGTCGGACACACAACTCACCTACTACCATTCCTTCTCAAGATTGGGTTTGACCCGCACTGCCGCGTCGCTGCAAGGCAACCCACGGGATCATAGCTGCAGGTTAGAATTTCCAAACGCATGAATGTGATCAAGCGTGGAGGTGGATTCATTTCAACCAGTTGAATCATCAGTTTGAATGGCTTCTTATTATTGTTATTATTATCATTATTATGATTGTGGTGTTGTGTTTCCCCCTTTTTGTGGACTAGACACCAAATATACAAAGCCATGTAAAGTATAAACAACCAAAATCTTTGTACAATTTATTTTTTTTTAAACCAAATGCACTCATCATCATTGCAAAGTCTAATTCTGTTTCCAGGAGAGACGGCGGTGAGTTATGTGGTTCAGTGTGACTTAGTGACCAGTGCAAGTTACAAGATAGCATTCAACTGAACATTTAATCATCCAATTGTCCAATTATTTTACTCATTGAAGGATTATGCAAATATATTAAAACTATAAAAATAATTTGTCAAACATTTGGTGTATATTTATATTCACTCAATTGCAATTGGTTGTTTTTTAATCAAAGTCAGGCCCATATTACTTTTTGTAGATCTGAATTTCCCATGAGGGATCATAATCAGTATTACGCCGTAATTGGGGTGCGCCACAATTTTCTGGCCAATCATCAGTCTCCGTTCTTGAAAAAGCCTGACCTGCCCATCTCCCATTTTTGCCGATCATGATTATTTTCATAACCAACAGCATACACCTTCAATGTGCCAATCTTGTTTGATTGTAAAACACTGAACAATACTTGTGAAACTATACAAGTGGGTTGATGAACTATTCATGAAATAGTTCTCTAAATGAAAATGAAAAGAGTCACCTCGAAGCAGATGAGGACAGTGGCTAACATTTTCAGACCTCTGCGTAGGCAAATGAGATCGGTGGACAATTGGATTCACCAAAATTAAGGAAAATCAGCGCAGATCCCAGTGGCATGTTATTCCATAGTTTTTACAACAAGTGTTCTTGGGCAAGTTCTGTCCAGCCCCTGTGTGCACAAGAATTCACAGGTAGGCATGCGCTTGCAGTGAACATTTCTGGCACAATGAGCCATTTACATTTCAAGAGCGGATACTCTGCACAGGCAACATTAGAAACAAACGCCGCGCGCGTATTTTTAACAAAAAGTGGGAGATGATCTTAACTGCCCGAAGGAGAATCTGCTTTCCTCCTAAATGAAGTCGCTGAGACATCGGACCAAGTAGCACTCTGTTCATCGTAACTGTATTCATTCCAGCATTGTCCATGTGTGTAGCTGGCAAATGAGCACCATATCTGCAATACAGTACTTGCTGGTCTCCCGTGTTCTCCAAAGTGTGTTTTGTGCCATCAAAAGACCATCTGGCACTGCATCGTTCACATCAAAAGTGGAATCTCATTCAGGAGATTTATTTCATAGTATTGGTGAGAAACGATATGCTGTCTTTCTTTCAGGTTTCACGCTATCAATGGGGTGAAGCTGCGTGTGTATATCATTGTGCAGTCTACTGGTGTCTTGAATCCACATGTCACTATACTATTTTTATAATTGTAAATATAACCATGCGCCATCATATGCCATTAGTTTGTTATTTATTGAAAATAACAAACATCGATACATCGACACATCGACTCAAAGAAATTAGGACAGAGCATTGTTTGAACAATAATAAATAGATGACACCATCTGATCTGTCATTGATAGTCATTCAAACTGTCAGCATATATTTGACTCAGCAACATTTAAGATTTTTTTTTTTGTTGTCTTTTACTCACATGGAGCTAGCATCACTTGCTGTTGTCAAAAGACTGCCTGTCAGTTGCAATGGTTTGTTCCTTGAGGACAAGACTTCTTCTGTCTCTCTGCTCTCTCTCTCTCTCTCTCTCTCTCTCTCTCTCTCTCTCTCTCTCTCTCTCTCTCTCTCTCTCTCTCTCTCTCTCGTTGCATTGTGGACCTTTTCAAAGGTCTTGTGGGTGAAGCCCACGACAGACAGGACTTGTATAATGTACATGTTCCACTTCTGGTTATTTGCTGCCGCAGGAAAAATGCTTGTCAAAATTACATCAAGCAAAACGTGATCAACTCAACTCAACTGTATTTGATGCAGTCCAATCAAACACATGTAAATACTATAACCACAGCCACTTTGTATTCAAATAGAAGGCGTAGCAGTTAGGTTGACTTTGTGCATAGGTGAAAATATGATGAATGACTGCAGCCCGGAACCTCAATATGACACTTGCAGAGAATTAGGCATCAAGGCTTGAAATAGCTTGACAAGGTTAAGTAGACCAAAAAAATGCACTACCGGAGCCACCAAAACCACTGTAACAGTGTGGCCATCTTCTGTGTTTTTGATGTGGATGGAAATGTGAATTCAAGATGAGACAACAACGCAATGTGAGGCTTCAGTTTTTCTGAGTCTGATACACCACTGAGAGAGCGCTAATACACCAATCCACACCCCATGCGCCATCATATGCCATTAGTTTGTTATTTATCGAAAATAACAAACATCGATACATCGAAACATCGACTCAAAGAAATTAGGACAGAGCATTCGTTTGAACAATAATAAAAAGATGACACCATCTGATCTGTCATTGATAGTCATTCAAACTGTCAGCATATATTTGACTCAGCAACATTTAAGATTTTTTTTGTTGTCTTTTACTCACATGGAGCTAGCATCACTTGCTGTTGTCAGAAGACTGCCTGTCAGTTGCAATGGTTTGTTCCTTGAGGACAAGACTTCATTTGACAGCATGTCCTGTGCGGCCCTCGTGTAAATGCACTCATTAAAGAACTGTGACAAAAATACCACAGAAACTAAATGCAGTAGAAATACGTCTAAAATTTGCATATTATCTCTGTGCCTGTGTAGGTTTTGTCAAAGTGCTTTGGGTTTTCCCACTTAAATAAAACATAAAATGAATATCACAATTACATCAAGCAAAACGTGATCAACTCAACTCAACTGTATTTGATGCAGTCCAAACAAACACATGTAAATACTATAACCACAGCCACTTTGTATTCAAATAGAAGGCGTAGCAGTTAGGTTGACTTTGTGCATAGGTGAAGCTATGATGAATGACTGCAGCCCGGAACCTCAGTATGACACTTGCAGAGAATTAGGCATCAAGGCTTGAAATAGCTTGACAAGGTTAAGTAGACCAAAAAAATACACTACCGGAGCCTCCAAAACCACTGGAACAGTTTGGCCATTATCTGTGTTTTTGATGTAGATGGAAATAAGAATTCAAGATGAGACAACAACGCAATGTGAGGCTTCAGTTTTTCTGAGTCTGATACACCACTGAGAGAGACACAAAACAAATCCCCCCATTGTGCATGTGAGGAAAAGGATTGGAACGTGACAGATGGAGCGAAACGATGGCCGAATGGTCATCGGTTCGATCGCATGTTCTGGCCTTCCTGTGTGAAGTTGGCATGTTCTCCCCGTCCCTTCCTCCCACTTTCTAAAAACATGCATGGCAAGTTGATTGAATGCTCTAAATTGTCCTTTGGTGTGATTGCTAGTGCGAATGGTTGTTCGTCTATGTGTGCCCTGCGATTGGCTGGCAACCAGTTCAAGATGTACTATACCCCGCCGACTGCCCTAAGACAGCTGGGACAGGCTCCATCATGCCCCCGGCCCTCGTGTAAATGCACTCATTAAAGAAGTGTGACAAAAATACCACAGAAACTAAATGCAGTAGAAATACGTCTAAAATTTGCATATTATCTCTATAATGGGGCACAGACATGGGGCCATTGAGAGTGATATCGAACTTAGTGGCATGGATGCTACGACCCCACACCGGTGAGGCATATTCGGCAGTGCTGTCGACGAGCGCAAGGGCTCTTTTACCAGGTATGGGAATGCTAACATCCCAAGACGATCCAGCCAAGCATCTCAGCAGGTTGTTTCGTGATGCGAGTTTGTCACGCAGAGCTCCTATATGATGTTTGTATGTAAGCCGTTGGTCAAGCTTCACTCCTAAGTACATGGAGGATGGATTATGCAAAAGTGGAGTATCATTTAAGTCGACAGAGAGTTGGTGTCTACATTCCTTGTTGCTCAAGTGTCAGGTTGTGATGGTGGTCTTGGCCAAACTCAGTTTTAGCTGCCACGTCCTCAAATATTGTGATTTTAAAGCCATGTCGGCAGTAAGTGCTTCCTCCACCATTTACCAGCTTTTGTGAGAGAAGAGCAATGCAAGGTCATCAGAATATCCGCCCTGGTGGGACTCAGTTTTTGCCATATCACAGATGTAAATGTTAAAGACCATAGGCGAGAGGCATGATCCCTGTGGCATTCCATTTCTGAGGTGGCAGGGACAGCTACATTGTCCACCAACGGTCCTTGACAAAAATGTTCGATTTTCATGCATGTTGGTGAGAATCTTGTATTGAATGACTATTTATTGTGCTACTGGTCTTTGACAGACTGCTCGATTTTCCTGAACAAGCACACATATTATGCACTCAGGTAGAATAGAGACGTGCAACGAGCAGACACGTCAGTGAAAAAGTGGGAACACGTCAAGGAGGGGGATTTGGCGAAAATCAAGCTCGGGGCTGTGGTGAGTCGTCATTTTCATGCACTTTGAATTTGCGTTGTATCGTATTTTGAAGGCATTAAACATTACCAGAGCGATAAGAGTGTTGCGACCAGATTAGACGCTCCTTGTGTTTATTATTATATTTGGAAAACACCACAGTTTTCATGCAGCTCATACCATATTATTTTGTTGTATTAATTCCGCCACACCTTAAATGCCGGTCCCTGAAAATATTGTCTGACTTAAACCGGTCCGTGGGGCAAAAAAGGTTGGGGACCCCTGACCTAGCCAACAATGCGTTAGGGTTGTTTACCCCACGTCTGCTCTCATATCATCTTTTTTTTGCTCCGGCTTACAAGAACTTTGGGTGGGCATAAGCATCTGGTCTTGCCGTTTGTTTCCCAACTGCTACTCCAGGCTTCCAAGACATTAGAATTGGAGTCATAAAGGCCTGCAGCATGGCAAGAGAAGAGGCAAGGGGGTTTCAATGTCTGCCACCCCAGAGGTTGTGTCTCAGTGACCAGCTGATGTATGGGGTTATTTTTAATCAGCACAAATTGTTGAGTAAGATGCTTGGCAACATTTTCTCCGTGCAGGCTGGCTGTGGCAATGCCTGGTATGACTAGTCAAAGGTCAATATAATGGGGCACAGACATGGAGCCATTGAGAGTGATATCGAACTTAGTGGCATGGACGCTACGACCCCACACCGGTGAGGCATATTCGGCAGTGCTGTCGACGAGCGCAAGGGCTCTTGTACCAGGTATGGGAATGCTAACATCCCAAGACGATCCAGCCAAGCATCTCAGCAGGTTGTTTCGTGATGCGAGTTTGTCACGCAGAGCTCCTATATGATGTTTGTATGTAAGCCGTTGGTCAAGCTTCACTCCTAAGTACATGGAGGATGGATTATGCAAAAGTGGAGTATCATTTAAGTCGACAGAGAGTTGGTGTCTACATTCCTTGTTGCTCAAGTGTCAGGTTGTGATGGTGGTCTTGGCCAAACTCAGTTTTAGCTGCCACGTCCTCAAATATTGTGATTTTAAAGCCATGTCGGCAGTAAGTGCTTCCTCCACCATTTACCAGCTTTTGTGAGAGAAGAGCAATGCAAGGTCATCAGAATATCCGCCCTGGTGGGACTCAGTTTTTGCCATATCACAGATGTAAATGTTAAAGACCATAGGCGAGAGGCATGATCCCTGTGGCATTCCATTTCTGAGGTGGCAGGGACAGCTACATTGTCCACCAACGGTCCTTGACAAAAATGTTCGATTTTCCTGCATGTTGGTGAGAATCTTGTATTGAATGACTATTTATTGTGCTACTGGTCTTTTTCAGACTGCTCGATTTTCCTGAACAAGCACACATATTATGCACTCAGGTAGAATAGAGACGTGCAACGAGCAGACACGTCAGTGAAAAAGTGGGAACACGTCAAGGAGGGGGATTTGGCTCTTTTAACAGCCCACTGTGACTGTGAGTGGTTTAAAGGCCTGAATGGAGCTTCTGTGCAGACTACGCTCTGGCCAGTTTCCCCCTGTCTTTTAGGAAGAATTGGGCAAGGGGGGGAAATGAAAGCTGAGGGATCAGACAAAGAAAAGGATGTGGAGGGAGAACAGAGGAGTGGGGTTAGAATGAAAAACAGATGTACAAATGGAGTACAGCGGCGAGGAGTATAGTTGAAAAAGAATGCACTCTGTTGTACTGGTGGGTGCAAATATTTGCTGTTCTGCTTGTCAGCGTAGCATTTACAGCGATGGGTTGACTCCTGATCCTTCTGCAGAATACTGATGAGGCCTCAGGCACAGGAGAACAGCGGTGGCCAGTGCGGATGTGTTACTTTGGGTCTGCACACTTGTTCATGGAAAAAGTCTCTGAATAAAGATGAATTTAAAGCAGAAGAAGAGATGCGGGATGAGAACTCTGAGTCAGGACGTACGTTGAGAGCAGCTGCAGATTGTTCCCCAGCAGTGACCATCCTGGCTCTTTTTTTGTTTTTCCAGAAGTCACTCGTACCACCCTGAGGGCTGGCCACGTATACGAGGAGGCACACTAACAAAGAGACCAATCAGGAGGGCAAGGCCTCCTTTCAGCTTCAGCTGACTGAATGACCCAGTTCAATTTTGTGCGTGTGCATGTGTGTGTGTGTGTGTGTGTGTGTGTGTGTGGGTGTGTGTG